CTCATTATAAACAGCGATTATTTCCTTAAACAGCGTTAACCAGTTGATCTTTGTAATGGTAAAGTGTGGTGTTTTCTTTGAGGTACGAACTGAATTCGTAAGTACTCTTTATTCGTGCTTCTGATTTATGGGTTAAGTATTAATGCAAATTATGAGTTGACTCGTGTAATTTTCCTGGTATGTTTTATCATCTACTTATCAAATACTGAGATACGATTGCAGTGTTATCAGTAAATTAAGGGGAAATTACAACATTGCTGAAATACTTCGACATGAACAAATAACCGGTTTTAAGTCACCATTCGCCAGAGCAAGTAATATGCTATATAACTGAGAAATTCAAACATAAATAATAATTTTACATTATTTAGAAATATTATAGAATAATACCCGTCAAAATGTTGTCCATCCAGATATATCCACTAATGGAATGGATTCATAACACATTTCGTTATGCAGTATGTTGAATTAATTTCTTCATAAATTCTATGTTTCAGGTTATTTAATTCTAAAATCCCTACCTTGTATAGAGCCCGAAAATGTATCACCGTATTAAAAAAAATCCGGTTCACACAGCCCAAGTCAGTTGAATCCAATCAACTCCCTCCAACCCTGTCACCTTAAGATCTATTTTAATATTATCCCATCTACGCCTAGATTTTCTAGTGGGAATTTTGTACGAATTTCTCATCATCCCATGCGCGCTACATGCCTCGCCTATCTCATCCTCTTAGATTTGTTCACCTTTATAATATTTCGTGAAGACTGAAAATCATAATCATTATGAAACTTTCTCCATTCTGGTACGTCGTCCCACTCAGGTTCAAATATTCTCGACACCCTTTCCTCAAACATCCTCAATCCGTAGTTCCCCCAACGTAAGGACACCGAAATCTCGTATTAAAATGGTTAGCTCTCCAGTTTCGTATTCGAGAACTCCCGGGTTCAAATCTCGGCCCGGAGACCGGCTGTCCATGCTGAAGGTTTCCTCAGTCACCTCAAGGTAAATTCCGGGTTAGTACTCTGAATTAGGCACCAACCGCTTCCTTCCACATCCTTTAGAGTTCATTACTCAGTATCGTCGTTTCACCCAATACTACATAGTCTAGATACAGAAGGCGTCGTTAAATAAGCTATAAATAGAAGAAATTAATTAAGATGAAAGACCAGGTTTGAAACCCATACAAAACGACAGTTAAAATTAATGTTTTAAAATTTAAATTTTTTACGTCAGACTGGAAGACAAAATATTCTCAACTACATTTTAACAAACGTTTCCTCGTGAATATAATTCTGATTTTTTTTTTTTTGACAGTCGTTTCCAAATATTTGAACAGCTGTAATTCAGTTTCTCAGTCAAAAAATTTCGTAACCTTCACACTATAAAATATTGATAAATGAAACAAATGTGTCTCTTACCATATTACCACTCTGGGTTATAAATCCGTCGTTTATTCAAATCTCTAATCCACGACGTTTATTATTAACCGTATTATTTTATTATTTATTATATTATTATAATGTAGCTTAAGTAAGGTCAGAATTTTTTTATGTTTATCGATCTTAACATTTATGTAACTGACTGTGTCACTAAAATAAACAGGGTTTGGCTTTAGATAAGATAGTACGTGATACACAAACCACGAGGGACGTTCTTATCCACAGAACAGTAATGAGATTACGAATATGGGCTTACGAGTGTTAAGGTTTCTCAGGTTTAAAACAGTTTTGATACTTTCTGTTTTGCGTTTTACAGTTTAACAAAACATTTAAATAGATTAACACGCAACCAGAATAATTTCGTTCGTTAATTAAGAAAATCGCGGACATCGTTCAAGAAACATGGAAGAAAGTGTATACAGATAACCGAACAAAGGAATATGGCTACATTGTAACGCAACAAATGTTTTTATCAGAACAATTTAGAAATTGTGTTCCAAAATGTATTGAGCGTAATTTATTAAATATTTCTGTCGTCAAAATTTACAGGTTGGAGACAAGTGTTCGGTGTTTTAAGGAAAAGTTTTAAATAAATGATTCAAGAATATACAATTATATCAAGTTGTGTGTTTGAGGTTATGTCATCGTATTTGTTATAATGATGAAATATAATGTAAAAGTGAACACAGTTGTTTAGTATATGGAAATCTGTGACAGTTATGATTAATTTAATGTTTTATTTTCACAACAAATTTAGAGATTGTGTTAAGTTTTATGAAACGGTGATAAAATATTTGGAAATTGTGTAAATGCCTACATTTGAATCCAGAATCAAGGATTTAGTTAGGTATTCGTCCGTTTAACGTTCAGTGACGTATCTGAGTGCAGACTTTCAAATGTTTTCACTATGAGAGAAAGAAAGTTTTCCGATAAAGACGAATATTTGATATGTGACGAGGATGATACAGATAGCAGCACAAATTCTGTGCCAAGAAGCTGTAACTGGATGGTTTTGGCCGGAGTTTTTATCCTCCAGGTAGGTTGTGTAATTTTAAAAATTAAATATACCTATTACCACAGACAATAGAGGCTCACAAATTATCATTCTCCAAATGACAATCTTCAAGCTGTGACTTCATTAACTCCGAAAGAAAACTCATTTATTTAATCTCCAACACCAGGCTCGGTTAACCTGTACTTGTTTTGTGCATGATATTAAATAAGATTTATAAATATTAAATCTAGAAATCAAACCCGCATCTTTGAAATTTTAATCAGTTATTTTAGTAACAGTATACAGTCATAAAATAAATAGTTTCATTACTACAGAGGTAATGTAGAAAAACGATTATTATAGTAAGTAGAATACATAAGGATTTAGAAGGATAATGTCGTGACCTATTAGAAAGAAGTATCCTAACATAACATTGTTCACAAAATCCCACCTGTTGTGTATATCGTGAATCAGACCAGTACAATAGAAGTCGTTAAGTTTAAATTAATTTTAAATCTATTACAGTCTATTTAATCTTCAGTTGTTAGATATGATATGGGAACACGAAAGATTTTGAATCGAACTGCAGCAAATACTCTTATGATATACTGTGATGTTATTTTCTTCGTGAATACAACTCTGATTTGCGTCATTTTTTAATAATGTAATTCATTCTGTTGTGGCATGATCAAATGCTCAGATTTGTGTTTATTTCTGGAACAGCTTACTTAGTAGACCTACCGTGGAATACAATATTACAGTAGGAACAATTAAAACGTTTGTTGTAAAAAATGTCATATATTTTACCTGTGAAAATATTTTAATTTTTGTGTGTATAAGAAATTATATGTAACTATGTTAATACTGTAAAATATTTTTAAAACAATAAAGTGGTAATGTATAATTATCACAACTTTTTAATGTCTTAACCAATATATTTGTACATGAACCTATTGATGGCGTTAGTAATTAACTTGAACTTATAGTGATCCTTGCTTCTTTCCAGTTCGTCATCTCTGGTGTGCTGGCTTCGTATGGTGTGCTGTTGGTAAGCCTGGTTGACGAAACAGGTGTAACGCTCAGAGAAGCAATATGGACGCCCATAACATACAGTGTATCATGTTGCTTGGCAGGTAATATAAATTTCTCCTAGAACGTGAGACAACTCAAATAGTTATAGATTCAAACACTATTTCAAAAACATTTCCGTATAATTTTTAATACGACACGGGGAACTTGGAAAGTCTGTGTTCAATTTTGCCGAGTGAATCGCTACCATTGCCATTCTTCGTGCAGTAAACGATACCCAGGCTATCGATTTGAAACAAATATATCTAACACCGAGTGTCATTTGTGGATGAAGTCAGCCATATTCGAAGTCACAGCCGTGATAACCTCAAATTCTGTTGTATAACTTTACATTACTAATATGGTTATACCGTATGTCTTCAGATCCTCTATGCAGGAAGGTGTCAGACAGAAGAAGCGGCCAAAGCTGCAGACTGCTTGCCTTCACAGGGATCCTTATTGCTGCAGGAGGGTTAGCCAGCACAGCCTTGCTTCACAGGTCACGACTGCAGGTCCTAAGTTATGGTTTGTTAGGAGGTAAGAACATTGGCTCTACCCTGTTAACCTTTATCAATATCTTATAATTTATGCCTGTAATGTTCATCTGACCTGTAGCAGGTCCATTAGCTCTTTATGATGTTACTTAGTATGACAAGAAAGTAAAAGTTTCACTGTTTTAAGCATCACAAAATGAAGACAAATACTTGTGTGGAGGTAAAGATGGACACATTCTCTACCCCACTAACAAATGGAGTTGAATTTTCAGTTTTACACTCCTGATAACTTTGTAGGAACAGGAGACTGTTCATACATTGTGGTTGATTGGTTGGTACATCTGCTTCACATTCAGGAAGTCCAAGATTCAAGTAAATATCAGCACATACTTTGAAAATGCAAGTAGGGAATTAAAATTTCATATTAACTTAGAAATACTTGAATTAAAGCACTACAATAAATAAACTAAAAATATCCCGCTGTGATGAAGATTGTGGTTTAAAGTAGTCATAGTAACTTTAATTAAATTGTGACTGTTTCCTTCCCATGTTCTTTTCAATCCATTATTCATGAAATTGCAAGGGAATATTTTGACTAACTAAGCAACTGTTACATTCTCAAGAAATACTTAGTTTAATGGAATTAGTTAATAGATTTCCAATTCTATGAATGACATACATGGGTCAGAAAATTTATAAGGGATTTGAACAATCACCTTTATTTTAACAAAAAGTATCTCACATTTCAGGTCTGGGTATGAGTTTGGTGCTAACGCAAGTTGAGATCATCCTCCACTGCCATTATCCCAGCCACAATGCTATGGTCCCCCAGTATGTGACCCATATGACCAATGCCCTTTCCCTCTTTTCGATGCCGCTGGTCCTTCTCGGCTTCATATCCCTCTACGGATCGCAAGGAGCACCCCTCCTACAGGCTGGTGTGGTCTTGCAGGGGCTTATTGGGGCAGTAACACTCATTCCTCCGACCCAGCGACCTCGAACCAGGCATCGCTATCGTTTACGACCCAGAACCTTCACGTTTGTGGGCACCAGGAGTCAGTCTGCCGCCAGGAGAGACAGCTACATCAATGACGTGTAAGCCGTCTACGCATCCATAAACTAGAGCTGTTGTCCAGCAAAGACACTGCATTATGAACGCAACCATAAATTTTGTTTTGTATAGTCTTTTCTTAGGCTACTCCATAACACGCGCTGGTTAGTCACTGGCTTCTCATCGTGGTGGTCTCGGTTCCTTTTCAGGTCATCTTATGGTTGACAAAGTGGCACAGGGATACTTTTCTCGCAGTCCATCGCTGTTTTCCTTTGAATATCATTCAGCGATGCTCCATATTTATTTATGTTTCATCTGGGGACGGTCAGCGGACCTGTTAATTGCCGCAGTTGCTAAATTTCCCACTGTAATTAATCTTCTGAAATCTAGATGCTATATTGGTATGGAAAGTAAAATACTGAAAGGCCTTGACTGGATAAATCAGTTTCTCCGTGTCGTAGTTATCGAATTAGAGGTAATATTCAGAAAAAAGTTACTTTTATGCTGGGAAAAATTTTAAATGCCACGAAGGAACAAGTTTGATTACACCCAGTAACGAAGGCGGCCTGAAAGTTATCACAGATAAAATTAAGACTTATGTCTTATTACCGGAATAATTTGTGAAATAAAAATATAAAAAATTGTTAATTAGTCCTTTGAAATGTGGAAAAATTTCAGATATTTGGGGATGACGATGACAAATCAAAATTTTGTTCGTTAAGAAATTTAGAACAGGTGAAACTTGGGTACCTTTCTTGCTGTCATGCAGTAAAGAATCTTTTGTATTGTCTGTTTCCTACATAAGAACTTAAAAGGAAAAAGAAATTAATTTACTTCTTGTTTTGTATAGATTTGAAACTTGGTCTCTCACGTTGAAAGACTATCGTAAATTAATGATGTATGAGAATAGGCCACCGAGGAAAATATTTGGATCATAAAAGAACAAGTGATAGGAGGCTGGAGAAAATGTGTTTCATAAAATTTCACTGGATATTAATGGAATGATCAAATCAAGAAGGATTAGACAGATGTGATAAGTAGAACGCATTATACGTTCGAAAAATCCTGACAAAGTTTTGGTCAGAAAACCTGAAAGATAAAACTAAAATATATCTTATAAAACAGGATTGCTTGTTACGGAATAGATTTGTTTGACTCAGGATACGGAACATGTTAATTAATCTTAAGATTCTGTAAAAGACAATTAATTTCTTTACTGCGTGACTGTTAGTGTCTTAGAAAAGACCACATTCCAAGAAGATCCTCATTTTTCACATATAATACAGTATTATAAGTTTTTTTAGAACAGTACATTGATTCATAAAGCTGAACGCAACTGTCACTTCCTGGCTCCTGGCTGGAACTGCATAACTCACCACCAAGCACTACAAGTTTTCCTGATACAAGTAGAGTATCGCTCTATAAAACAATAAAATAGACTTTTTCTAGCAGCTGCTGGGAGCCCGTAAGTTACCGTTGAGTTCTTCATCAGTGAACGCAGTGTTAAATTTTCTTTCGTTAACAGTTACACCAGAAGGCGTTTGATGTCCGCGAAATCTAGTCAGAGCTGGAGAAATCCTGCCTATTGCGACAACAGTCCCGAGCTAAACGATTGTATCGGTGAACGGCCCGTGATTTTGGAAAGCAGTTCAAGATGCAACAGGAATGGAGTTGATATCCTTCCTGAAATTCCTGAAGAATCTGAAGAAAATTATGATTCAGACTGCAGTGATATCCATGAAGATGCAAGTGACGTAAAATTCAGAGATAAAACACCACAATGTGGAGCAAGGAGTATGGACAGTCGTTTAGATTTGTATAAAGTTCATGCTAAAGTAACTGATAATTGTGTAGACAATAAAAGATGGAGTATCGGAACTACGGAAGAGATAATGTCGTTTTCCATAGAAAATGGGTTAGCAAAATATTGGTCAGTTTCAGAGAACGACGACATCAACAAGGAAGACCGGCGGAATAATTCGTGTAAAAATAATTTTGAAAATGTTGAAGTAGAACTTGATAAACAGGGTGTAAGAGAAAGGGCAAGTTTGTTTCCTGTTAATAAAGCAGTTTGGACTACGAGTTTATGTGAAGTCGGTTCAAATTTTGATAATGAAGACGTAAGTGAATTTGATCCACTTTTGAGTAATATGGGTACTGCAAAGAGTCGTTCCGCCAAAAACTTTTATCATATCGTCAGGAAGGCGAGGAGTATGGAAGACGTACCGGTATCTGGTATTACGAGCGCTACGAATCAAAACGATGCTTTAAATACAGATGTTGTCGCGTCAAACGCGAACAGCGTCTCGATGCATTCTTCTGACGAAGTAAGTGTTCATAAATATGAAAATGGTGTCACAAGACATGTTGATACTATTAAACTATCTTGCGACAGCAAACACGTTCAAAAGCGATTCAGTATCGGAAGCTCGGAACAGTTGTTATCGGCAGATGCTGTGTTATTGACAGAAGATGCAGAAGTTACAGATGGTGATGATTGTCAGAAGTTGTACAGTACTGAGAATGGAAACTGTAATCAGGCAGTGGACCATACCGGTTTCTCTCATAGACTCATACCAAACGGTTCACTTACGATCGTAGTTCCAGAAGATCATAGAAATGTCACTGTAACCGAAGAAATATGTTTATCACCTGATTTAGGAGAGAGCGAATACTCACATTGGGGAGCAAAATTAATGTCATCAGAGACTGTTGTTGACAGTACATCAAACAGTTGTCTGAGACGCTGGAATCAGTGTGTCGCATCCTTCTGTCGAGTCGTACAAAGGCTGATTTCTTGCCGCACGTGCTATCTATGCCACTGTCGAGTATTCCGACGGCGACGCGCATCAGATCTTTACGACCGATTTCTCTGCTGCGTTTGGGAATACGTGACGATCCCTTATTTCTTCCCGTCTCTGTTACTACGATTTGCCACGAGGCTGTGTCTGATGGGGTTCGCAGCGCTGTGCCCGTCGCTGGCAAAGAAAATCATCGACGAGTGCACAAACGAGGAAGCCGCATTTTCCGTCTCGATATCTGGGTTTGCCTGGTTGTGCTTGCTGCTTCTGTCTCTTTGGTGTTCCAAGATGTCGCATGAAAAGCGAAAGTACGTGTTTGCGGCCGGGAACCTGGTCGCTGCGTCCGGGCTCTATCGTAAGTATAAATTTTATTAAGCGGCGGGAAATTTTAAGATATACATTCTTATATATTTTGTGAACTTCAAAGTAAGGCGTGAAGTGAAGATCGTCTGTTTCCTCATTCACGCGTTTAATATCGTAAACTACCGAACAGATTGTTATGAATCTTAAATATTTTAATGTGTACACTGCAAGTTATTAAGAAGTTGGTTTAATATATCTCATTTACGTAAAACTCATATCTAAGTACATGCCTTTTTTTTAAAAAATTAGATTCTCTTAAAACTAAATATGAATGATATTTATGTCTGTGTGGTTTCCAGTTTTGTCCAAGATGGAATCACACGACAGCCTGACTCTGAGTTGCGGAATTTTCGGATTGGGTCTAGGAGCTACGGTGGTCATGGGCAATACAATTATGCACGAGGCTCTCGGGACCTGCAACCTTGCCAAGGTGGATGTGATTTTGGATCTCGCTTGTGGAATTCTGATACTCGTCACTGGCTCTGTCATCGGTAGGTAGATCAGTAACGTACAACTAACACAGAAAGAGACATAAGTAATCGTGGAATGGAACTTCACATGAGGTTCAATTAGATCTACATAACATTTTATCAAATACAATTTACAAAGTAATATCTGCGGTTAATTTTTATTATAGTATGTAATCGTGCTCGTGTGTGCTTTGTGTATACATGCACGTGTGTATTTATCCGCCATGATGGTTTTTTAACTGGCTAGACTTTTCATATTCATATACATTCAAAAAATAAATCTACCAGATAAATCAGGATTGAGTAGAAATTTTATGAAAGCAGCAGGCTTACCACCTGCTATTCTGAGAAGGGGTAAACAAAATTCTTAGGTGACTAGGATGCGATAACTGGCCAAATGGCTATAAACCACTCGCTGTGAAGAAGAATAAATATTGTTTATTCAATTTTTTTCACAGTGTTTTGTTGTTAGAGTTAATTACTGCTAATTTGTTTTATGTTATAATGTTGCTGAAAATTTTTGAAAATTTAAATATTTTTTATAAAGTAGTGTTCATCATTTTTAATTGTGAATGTTCTGTATAGTGAATATGATGTCTCTTGTATTAACATTACATTCATGATGGAGCAGGTTTTTGGTTATGTTTGGTTATGTTTATATCTCTATTCAGTATCAGGTTGGGTTGGGTAAGGTTAGGTTAGGTTAGGTTATGTTTATGTCTATATAGAATCAGGTTTACCTGTAGTGCACTTGGCTTTGAAAAAAATATATTAATAGATTAATATCAGAAGTAAATGAATATTTGTTCAGTGTGGTATGAAAAAGAACAAAAACAATGGATTTGCTAGAATATTGGGTATAATCTAAGTTTTGTTTCTGTTTACGTTCGCGCAGTCAGCATATCTAAAAGCACTGCTGTTCTTGTAATTGGACAGATTCGATCCTCGCACACAACGAAGGCCCTTCTGGCTGCTTCACGCTGTTGGCCGTTGTATACTTGGTGACGGGACTTTCGTGGCTGTTAAGGCCATTGGTCGACAGACTGCAATCTAAATGCCGAACTCACGATCTCTGGTTCACTACTGGAGGACATCACTTCACTTCTGGGTAATCAGGTCTCGGTATCCAGAAGTATTGCTGTTGGAGTTCTCTGCGGTCCCGGAAATAAGGAACGATCTCCCAGGTCAGTTAACGACGTCTTTTTTATTCTTTTAAATATAAAGTGTGGAACGTTAGAGAATGTTTGCGGCAAATTGAAAGAGATGGTAAAAAGGTAAGGTAATATCAAAATTGAAGTTGTAATACCAGTGAATCGACTTTTTAAGCCGCAATTAAATTTGCTTGATACGTTAATGGAGGACACAAAAGAATTTTGACTATCAAGGTGAGGATTAGAAACCATTGAAGACATTTAAATCTTAAAATTGGGGTTCTAAAAAAATGATATATATGCCATTTTTAAGTACGTATCTTAATGTGATTTTAGGTTTATGCATAAGAAGTTGGTTTGGTAATTAAGATGAAGTTGTGAGAAGTTTAATTTTGGAAACGTTTGCCGTAATTGATTTCATAACCTTTTAGCGTTCGGTATCAACTCTTAACTCGTGGCGTGTTTTAGTGACTCGTGGTCTGAGAGACTGCTCGAGTTTTAATCCCGTCTGTCCACACATTCAAATGGCATGCAAGAAAATTCTAAATTTGATGTCTTAGTGTCTTTTTCTAAAAAAAAATGTAAGATGTAATTTTTTTGAGTCCTCCGTGAGTTAAGGGTTAAAATATAATTTATCTGTTATAACGTACTGATGTGAAAGTTGGCGTCTCACGACAAAGGAAGAACGTGAGCCTTCGGGGATTTGACGACAAAATTCCACGGAAATATTTTAAGCTTCTACAGATGAAGTAACGAGCATTTGTTTAAAATTACGTTATGAAGAGATCCGTAATCTTCACAGTATGATCAGTCGGGGATTATAATACGAGTAGGACGTATCACAAATAAGGGAAATGAGAAATGCATACAAAATTTTAGTCTGTAAAACCACATTCAAGGAAAACATTGAAATATTAGTCAATGTTGGATAATAATGAAATTGATCTTGGAGAAATAAGGTGTGATGGAATTGTCTGGTGTATGAGCGAACTTTTTTGAATCCATTAATAAAGTTTGTTTAATGATCGCAGGAAATTCTTTACCACCGCAGCGTGCCAGCTTCTCGAGGAATTTCCTGTTCTGTGGAGTTGATTGGGCTAACAGTGCATGAATGTGGAAGGGATTATGAAAGTAGAAGGTTGTTTATTAATCATCATCCGTGAGTCGTGTGTCTCATCTGCGGTGTTGTTTTATGCGCGTCACAGTAGCGCGCTGCTGGGCCATTCACTGCGGATTTAAAATCCAGCCGTTAGCCCTGTAGTACAGGGGCTGAAATCACGCCGTTAGCCCTGTAGTACAGGGGCTGAGATCACTTTTTCCTCTCCCCTCATGCGCCTACATGGCGTATAGTGGGATAGCTTTACTTTTTATTTTACGTTTTGTTTTTGTATTTTAGCGTTGTTAAATTGTATTGTACATCAAATTTGCATCCAATAAAATGTGCATGCATGCATGTGTAATTATTTATTTTTGCTATATTTTATTTGCATGGGGTAACAAAATGGTGAAATGAATAGAATACCGAGTAAAATATTATTATTTTTGTTGTTGTTGTTGTTGCATGTCTAAAATGAATGCAGCCAA